TTGGTATTTTTTCTTCCCTGCATGGACATGTCGATCAAGTAAAACATGTCCCGATGGTCACCAGAATGAGTGAGACTCTGAGGGGCGATTAGAGGGAGTCATGGAGAAGGGGAGGGTGTGAGAATTTTGGGGATTAGAGGGAGTCATGGAGAAGGGGAGGCTGGTCAGAGGCCGGAACGCGTCCTCCGTTTTGCAAAGGGCTGTGCCTGTCGGGATGCCACTTGCTTGGGGTTCACAGTGGGGGCAGCTGCGCCCCTTGTGCGATGCTGGCTGGTTTCTCAGAAACATCTGGTTAGCCCCTGTCGAAAATGGAATGCTGGACTAGATGGGTGCCAAGGTCACCGTTTGCCCAGGGTGCCAAAAATGCTTGGGTCAGCCCTGGATGGATTACTATACCCAGGGGTCATTTCGTAGGAAAAGAGGTGCAGGAGCTCATTAGCATCGGTGGACTCTCTTTCCAGGGGCAGAATTAGAAAACGAATGGCTTCCCGGAGTCCCACACTCAACAAAGGGAGAGCCAAGTGTGGGCATTCGCACAAGACTGGTTATTTCCTGTTCGGTCTGAAATGGTGCCCACATTCCCTTCTCCCTTCAACAAAAATCCCGGCATCCTCATCAGCAGAGAATTGGAATTGCAGTGGCTTGCTGTCCAGAACGGGAACTGTAGCGGCCTTTGTTTGGGAGTCGGCCTTGTGTGACTGCCCGGCTTGACTGTGCCCGCGAGGCCCCCTGCCCTGCATGCCGAGTGCACGGCAGTCTCTCGCTGAGAGCTCAGGGGAGGAAAGGGCCACCTCGGACTGGACTCGGTTTGGAGCACGAGCGTTGCTGGGAGGGCCCCGGGAGGCAGGAAGAAGGCGCTGAGCCAGGGGCCCCTGCAGTGCTGTGGGGGCCTCTCAGCTTGGGCCTGGGCTGCGTGCCCCCAAATCGATGGTGACAACAACAACATAGAGGTTTGCTGCTCATCACAGCACACTTCGTGACTGGGAGGCGAGAGCAGAACACTCGTACCCATGCGCAGGGCCGCCAGCTCCCGGCAGGGAAATTCTTGGAGATTTGGGGGTGGGGGGAACCTCAGTGAGGCACAATGCCATGGAGTCCATCCTGCAAAGCAGCCATTTTCTTCAGGAGAACTAATCTCTGTCGGCTGGAGCTCAATCAAGACGGGTAGCAGTAGAAAAGAGCAGGAGTCCAGGAGCACCTGAAAGACTCACAGAACTGGTGGCAGGGGAGGAGCTCTCGTAAGTCAGGGCCAGTGCTCCCTCTAAGCTGAGTGAGTGTGAGCTAGCTCACAGTTTTTTTAGCCTCTGGCTCACAGACTTTTGCCTTAGCTCAGGAAGGATGGCTCCAGATTTACACTGATTTACACAGTAGCCAGATCGCTCACTCACAACGTCAATGCCAGCAGCTCACCAAGTACAATTTTTGCTCACAAGATAGCTTAGAGGGAGCATTGGTCAGGGCTCACTTCCTCAGATACTTCAAGGTAGATCAAGATGGGTAGCAGTAGAAAAGAGCAAGAGTCCGCTAGCACTTCAGTATCTGAAGAAGTGAGCCATGACTCACAAAAGCTCCTACCCTGCCACAGATTTTGTTAATCTTTAATATTTATTTATTTATTTATTGCTTCTATTTGTATCCCGCTTTGCCGGACACGCTGGCTCAAGGCGGCTAGCAAAGTTAAAATAACATAAACAATACAGAGTTAAAACAATAAATACAATACCATAAATACCAATAAATACAATAAGATGCTCCTGGACTCCTGCTCTTTTCTACAGCTGGAGATCAATTGTAATTCTGGGTGATGCTCACTCCGTCATGCGGCACCCGGGTCTCGAACTGCTGAACTACTGACCTTCCACAGCCTGCAGTTCAGCGTCTTAACCACTTGAGCCACCGCATACCATAAATACCAGTAAATACAATAAGATGCTCCTGGACTCCTGCTCTTTTCTACAGCTGGAGATCAATTGTAATTCTGGGTGATCTCTAGGCCTCCCCTGGAGGTTGGCAAGCCTGTCATCTGTTGGCAGAGTAATTAACACAGCAACGGTGCACAACCTGATTAAAGAGTAGATAAAGGTTTATTTAAGAACTAATATAATTGATATGAAAGAGGACGGACAGGGACAGGTTCCTAACTACATCTCTAG